ATCAGATCATTCATGGGCTTCCCATTCATTTGTCTCATTCATTCTCTCACAGCTGCCCAGGCACGCACTCACTTGTTCACTTGGTCACAATATTTATTGAGCAAAACTTTCCAGGGGTCCAGAGAAGTCCAGGTCTTGACGGACCAGGTCCAAGAACCCTTCAATGTCCAATCTTTTTTTATTTGTTTCTTGGTAGACATCTTTAGTTCCATTGAGCTTCTTCTATGACGCAAGGGCCAGAGCTGCGCCTGCCGGGGGGGTGTGGACCCCACCCTCCCCTGACATCCCCTTTATGAACAACAGGGGTCTGGGGAGTAGGTGCTTCTGAGTGTCACAAACCGTTGGCTTTCAGTTACTAATAATGGAAGGCTTGGTGATCTGCTTCCAGATCTGTTTTTGTTATGGAATTCAGTTCTGCTCCGTGACACAGGGGGTTGCCATGAGTCAGAATTGAGTCAATGACAATGAGCAGTTGGGTTTGTTGTTTTGGGGGGTGGGGTGGGGGAGTAGGGTGGTTGCCGGGTGGGAAAACTGTTCTCAGCACTTCCCCACCAAATGGTAAACAGATTCAGTAGATTTTGTGAACAAAGCTAATTCAAAGCCAGCCAACCAAATAACAAAATTCATTCCAGGGAACCAGAATTCTACTGGGAAACTAACTTTTCCTGCACGGTTCACAAGTCTAGGAAATAAGCAGGAGCAGCCGACCATTCCATTACGAACGGTTTCCTTCGGGAGAAATGCATTTTAGGCCTACTATGCATAGAAGGAGTCCTGGAGGTGTGGCGGGTTAAAGGTTGGATTGCTGACTGCAAAGATAGTGGTTCGAATCCACCATGCACACCACAGGAGAAAGATGAGACTGTCAGCTCCCATAAAGATTCAGTCTCAGTAATCATGAGGAGCAGTTCTACTCTGTCCTATAGGGTCACGAAGAGTCAGAATTAATTCCACAGGAGGAGCGTTAGTTTGGGTTTGGGGTACTATGTGCAGAGACTTGAGTTAGGGGCTGTGAGTGAATGAATGAATGAATGAATGAATGAATGAGATAAGGTACCTGCCCAAGAAGCCTGCACTCCTGGGAGGTAGGGGCATAAACCCCTTCATTGATTGCCTCATTCCAAGCATGGCTTTGGAGTCATGAGGCCACAACCCTTGAAACATATTAGATGGGAGAAGTCACTGGGATGGGATTTTAAATATGAGACAAGAAGGTAGTCGTGGGGGGAAGGGTTTTGCAGAGGCGAAAAGGTGGAGAAAGACACAGCAGAGACAGATACAACCCAAGACACCGTTGTCTCTATAATCCAGGGCATTTCTTGGAATGACAAGAAATGACAGTTCCTGGTGGCACAACGGTTGGGCACTAGACAGCTGACAGAGAGGTCCGTGGTTTAAAACCACCAGTTGCTCCGAAAGCGTGAGATGCTGGCATTTCCATGGTGAAATTACTTGCCAAAGGCCCCTGAAGCCTGGGAGGCCTTTGTGACTTCAAACTGCTGCTTCACCATGCCTTACTGCCTCCTCCTCCTCCTCCTCTCCCAGACTTCTTCAGGTTGAACATGCTGTTGGAAGCTCTAAACCAATACCCAGCTTCATCTGGAACGCTCCGCTCCCTGAAGTCCTCAGGGATGCTCACTGACCAAGGATCTGGGGACTAGCCCCAAATTTGTCCCTGCACAGACATGTGGCCTTAGAAGATAACTGAAAAGCTGAGAGATTTAGCTTGTTCATGGACTTCACGAATATTCTGAAAGCACAGTCCTCCTTGTATGTTCTGAGGGCTCCCCTGAGAGGCTTTATAACCCACCCACTCCTACTGTGAGGGTTGCTATTTGCTTAAGCCCCACCCACAAGGCACACCTGCTCTCATCAAGTTGTTGCCCATTTGTGTTTTGCCATCGACTGCTAACCTCAAAGCTGGAGGTTTAGACTCATCCAGCAGCTGTGAGGGAGAAAGGCCTGGCAAACTCTTTCCATAAAGATGACAGGCAAGAAAACCCAGTGCAGCAGCCTCCTCCTCACTAACACAGGGGTCACCATGAGGGCTTCAAGGCAAACCTCCCTTAGATGGCTTTGGCGATGGTCTCCCTAGATTCTCCTGACCCCATAGGCCTGACAATGCTTTTTGCTAGGCCCACCTGCTGGTTCCTCCAGCCCATCCCCCATGTCTTCCCACTTACCCATTCAAATCCAAAGCAGAGTCCTGGGTATGACACCATCAAACAAACAAACTAGTACCAACCAAACTTACTGCCATTGAGTTGATGCCAACCCATAGACCCTCTAAGACAGGATAGTACTGCCTCTGTGGGTTTCTGAGACTGAAGCTCTTTACAGGAGTAGAAAGCCCTGTCTTTCTCCTGCAGAGAGGCTGCTGGTTTCGAACTGCTGACCTGGCAGTTAGCAACCCAATATGTAACTACTACCCCACCACTGTTGAAGCCAGAAATTCTGCCTGGGACTAAAATACAGAACTGAATTCCCTCAGACTGGGCTTTTCCAATTCTTAATATAAAATGAAGGTCCTAAAAAGAGAAAGGCAGAGAAATGAATCTAAATGTTTTTATTCAGCTTAGTGCTGCATTTAGGGAGATTACTGGGAGCACCCCCCACCCCCAGGCTGGGCTCGCGGTGTTCCCCTCTCAGCACTAATTGTAGATTCATCCCCTATTTATAAAAACATATACATGCTTGCAATTTGCATTGTTGAGGTAGTCAGGGTGTTAGTTGAGCAGGCTAAGATGCAGCCTTAGGACCTGCATCTGCTGTTCCGGAAGCCAAGACAGGGCCAGAGAAACTTCCAGAAAGGAGCTTCCGGTGTTTTGAGGCCTGGTGGCTCAGAGCTGAGGCAACTCATCATGAGGACCTCCCCAACAGGCTGACCCTGCTGTGAACTCCAGAGAGCATTGCTGTGCGGGTTCTGGGATGAGCCACAGACAGAGCGCCTCTCACTGGGCCTGCACACAGCAGACTCCCCGAATGCTACCGCCCCTCCTTCTCTTTCCTTGAACCCCATGAGAGAAATGGAGAGTATCCTGTGGGAGAGCGTCCAAGGTGACCTGAAGTTTGTGCAAGAGAAGGAACAAGAGGTGGTAGTGTTTGCAGTCCTTTTTCTCTGTGCCCAGCTTTGAGCTAGCAGCTCCACACTCAACCTTCATCCTTACAACGATCTTCTTAATATCCTTACGGATGCTACGAGTCTAACATGCTTGCAATAACCTCTTCTGGCTCCCTGGAGGTCGTAGACAACACAGGGTGTTAGATGGGGTTCTCTCTCCCCTCTACTCCCTGAACACCCAATTCCCCACCTGGAGGTGGTATACTCATCCAGTTTATGGAGCAGCGCACAGCATTAGAGAAGTGAAGGGACTTGCCAAAGGTAACATAATGAGGGAGGGGTAGAGCCAGGATTCACCCAGACTCCAGACCCCCAGCTCTTTCTGTGACACTTGGCTGCACCTCTACAGGTGGGTCAGGGAGAGCCATCAGCACAGGACATATTTTAAAACAAACCCATGAGTTGCCTGCTCCCACAGTTGCTTGGCCTCTGGGACCCGATGCCAGACAGAGAGGGAGAGGAGACCCACATTGGGTGCTGGATGTTAGCCCCAGACAATGTCCAAGGATCTGATTGAGGCTGGGTTTTGAATGTCAGGGGCCTGGGCCAAGGAGGGAGCTTAGAGACCTATCCTAGGCAGGACTGGTACAAGGCAACCAATCCCTTCCCTGCTAGAAGCAAGTCTATCTCAGCAGGGCTCACAGGCCCAAACCTCTCTGTTCTTGGTTGTAAATGCCAATCCAGCAGCACCAAGTAAACATTCTGCCCGTGGGTTTTTTACTTGGTGTTCAGTCAGCCTGGTATCTCTGTACTTTGGGCCAGAGTTCTGAACCCTTCTTCCTGGGGCCCCAAAGAACAGGTGAGTCCTGGTGCACGAGCCCTGAGATGCACACTCCCCTGATGAGTTAGGCAAGACCAACCAAGCCCTATGGAGATTCACCATGCATCTTGGGCATCTTGGGCTCCACCATTATGGGGACACAGTTCTAATCATTAATCAGCATAAGGCACAGGCCAGTCACCCAAGCCAGACAGTACTTGCAGGTTTAAATGTCAGATTACTCAAAGCCCTCTACTACTCACACAGGCACTTGGATATTGAACATAAAACCATCTTCCTTTCCCAGGGTGCTTCCTGTGCCTTTGGCCCAACAAGCCTCTTTCTATCTGCGGGTTAGCAGGCTCGCACAGTCCCCTGTGTACATGTTCTCCACTCCCATGGGTCCATTCGCCAGTTTTCCCACTGGTGAGATGGAGCACCTCTCTCCTTCTGGGAAAGGCAGGTGTGCGGCCAGGTAAGGGAGAGTCCAGGATGGAGCTTTCTCATCCTAGATGTAAGCTCGCTCCACAGGCAGGTTTTGCTGGTGCCCTTGACTCCCTGTGGATCCCAGAGGACAGCCTGTGGATCCTTGAGCTTAGAATCCACAGGCCCAGTGAGCAGCCTGACCCTGGCAGAAGCGGACTCCTTTTGGCTTGCAGAGGTTCATGGGACGGGCAGACAGAGTTGTCTGCATCTGGCATGGCTCCCTAGAGGAGGAGGGTGAGAGTGTAGGAGCACCTTGCTGGATGCCCACAATTGCAAAACACCAGGCGATACAGAATAGGAGAGAGCTCCCCAACACTCCCACTCGGGGAGTCCGGTCACCCCACCTGTGAATTTGCCTCTTCAGCCTGCTGCACAAGGTTTCTCTAAGAGGCGGGTCCTGGAAACTGGTGCCCTAGAGGGGTCCCACAGTCCATCAGAGCTCCCTCCTCTGGGGACCCAGAGGTGTCCACCCCACACCCCCTGTTGGGTTTTTATTCCTTTGACTGGAGGAACCCGCCCCAGCTCCTCATGGAGAGCGGGGACACGACCAAGGGAGGCAAGAGGATACCCCAGCTCAGTGCCCGTACCCGCAACCCTGGTCAGGGCGACAAAAGGAAAGAGGAGGTGGCTTACCTTTAGAGGGTCGCCTTTCTTTGGTTTGCAGAGACGAGAAGGTGCCCATGACAGCCCCCATGGTGGCAAAGACTTGTGAGAGACTTGGGACCCCAACTGCCCCTCCCCTTCCCTAGAAAGATATCCAGGCGGATGGTCTACTCCGAGAGGGAAGAACAAAAAGAAAAGCCCGCGGCGGCAGGCGGCTGGCCCGCAGCAGGGGCTTCAGCGAGCGCGGGGCTGGCAGCTGGAGGTTGGCGCTGCCTCCCCAGCCCGGCACATGCAC